GAGATGGGCTCCAACGCACTTACACCCAAGGGAAGCGGGTCGATTCGAGGCTCGTTCACATACAGAGGACTTGTCCAAGGGGGTGGACTACGTGGACGTGAACGGGGACCGTGTACAAGTACGACGAAGGAAGAGGGCTTAGCGGACCCTAAGTCCGCTTTGATAGAAATTTCTACTTTGCGGTAGTGTAGTGGCTCGTTGCCGTGCCGTACCCCGGAAAAGAAGCTTGTGCAAGAGCAGGCATGTATATATAGAATGGGCATGGGCTCCGAGAGCTGGGGACCTGGTTGAAAAAGGTTCTCCCAACCATCCACGCGTTGTCACTTTGCTGGCAGCCCTTTCCACCCCTTGTCCTTAGCATTTATTCTCCGAAAAGAGAACAGGAGGACGCAAGTCATCATGGCAGATTCACACCAGGATCCTGCCAAGCTGCACGCTGCAGTGGCATCGACGGGCACGACACTCAATGGCGAGGATTTCGATAGCAAGACTCCGGTGCCCAGCTTAGGAGGAGAAAAGGACGACCTGGACCTCGCAGTTGACGAGAAGCAGCAAGACTCTGTTATCGAGTCTCCGGCTGACGATGGCGAGCTGCGAGAGGACGAGTACCCTTCGGGTATCAAGATGTTCTTCATCGTGGTCGCCTTGGTGTTGAGCGTCTTCCTCCTGAGTCTTGATATGGTGAGTCTATATCCATCCGTTCGGCGGTGAGGAAAAAGAGTGATGATGTGTACTAACAAGCTGTCTCTTCCCAGACCATTGTTGCGACAGCTATTCCCAAAATCACAGACGAATTTCAAGGCCTCGACAAGGCTGGTTGGTACGGTGCCGCCTTCTTCATGACTGTCGGCGCGTTCCAGTCAACATGTAAGCAACTCTACTCCCTACAATCGCATCTCAGCTCCAGCCACTAACAGAAGAAACTCATCAGGGGGCAAGGCATACAAGTATTTCCCTCTCAAGACCACCTTCATCCTCTCCATCATCATCTTTGAGCTCGGCTCCGTCATCTGCGGCGCCGCCCCCAACGCCGAGGCCCTCATCACCGGCCGCGCCATTGCCGGTCTGGGAGCCGCTGGCCTCGGCGCCGGCGCATACACAATCATCGCCTTCTCCGCGCCGCCCAAGAAGCGTCCCGCCTTCACCGGCATCATTGGCGCTTCGTACGGCTTTGCCAGTGTCATCGGACCGCTGCTGGGAGGCGCCTTCACCGACCACGTCACCTGGAGATGGTGCTTCTACATCAACCTGCCGATTGGAGGTGTCTCCGCGGCCATCATCTTCATCTTCTTCCAGACGCCTCGCAATGCGGTGCCGGTCAAGGCGCCTCTCGTTGAGAAGATCCGCCAGATGGACCCCCTCGGTGTCATCTTGATGATGGGCGCCACCGTCACCTTCATCTTGGCCGTCCAGTACGGAGGCATTGCCCACCCCTGGAACTCATCCGTTGTCATCGGCCTTCTGGTCGGCTTCGCCCTCATCATCGGTGCCTGGGCCTTCAGCCAGTGGTTCCAGGGCGAGTACTCCATGGTGCCGCCAAAGCTGTTTTCCAAGCGCACCAACTGGGTCATGTGTCTCGTTGCCTTCATCCAGGCCGGCGGCTTCTTCGCCGCCATCTACTACATCCCCATCTACTTCCAGTCCGTCGACGGCACCAACCCGACCATGAGCGGCGTCCGCAACCTGCCCTTCATCATTGCCGTGTCCTTTTCAACCGTCGCTAGCGGCGCCCTGGTCAGCGCAACTGGCTACTACCAGCCTCTGCTGCTCGGCGGCACATCCATCGCCACCATCGGCGCCGGTCTGCTGTACACCATGAGCACCACCACGTCCACCGGAAAATGGATCGGATACCAGATCATCGCCGGCGCCGGCTGGGGCACGTCCTTCCAGATCCCCATGATCGCCGTCCAGGCGCTGTCCGACCCGGCCGACCTGGGCCCTACCACCGGCATGCTGCTCTTCTTCCAGGGCCTCGGCGGCGCGTTCCTCGTCTCCGGCGCCCAGTCGGCCTTTGTCAACACCATGATCCGCCACGTCCTCCATCACGCTCCTCAGGTCAGCCAGGCCATGCTCGTCCTGACGGGCGCCACCGAGATCCGCAACCGATTCCCCGCCGACCAGCAGCCCTTTGTCATTGACGGCTACATGGCGGGCATCAAGGTCGTCTTCGCCATGTGCGTTGCCTGCACGGGCATTGCGACGCTGATTGGCCTGGGCATGCGGTGGAAGAAGCTCAACCAGGATGCTCTCAAGAACGCCGGTGGAGCGGCATGAGGAGTTTGTTGGCTGAATCAGGAAAGATGACAGAACATTCTGGTAGATTTTGTTTTGCATTTGCATTTGCAGGCGTCCATTTTTTTTTTTTTTCTTTTTGAATACGAAACGGGATCCATATATATAATGGGTTACATGGAGGTAATACCGGGTAATATAGATAGGGCAGAAGTGGGATTTCTGACACCCTCCTTTAGAATCTTCTTTTTGTTTTAAACGCATGTAACGCTATATACCTAGATGATGCATATATTCAACATACCTAGAGAGAAAGGAATCAATCACTACTCACGGTCTACTTTTAGTCTTTGATTCGTCTTTGATATCTGTGAACACGGCTTTTCGCCTTTGCAAGACGGCAATTCGAAGATGGTGATGTATTGCCTGTAGTAAGCTTACCTTTTGGGGGTTTAGTCAAGCTGGCGATGATAAAAAATGATTGATGTCAAGTACGGCGTGATCATGGAGTTTATACGAAGGAATGCGTGTGACAAGTGATAAGGCTGCACTGAGCCGAGCAGTGGCCTGATGGTTCCAGGCAGCCTTGGATACAATGCAACATGATGTATGCTTCTCCAAGTCAGTGTCATACAACATTGGCCCTTTCTTGTGCATTAACAAGTGTTTACCAAGCATGGGAAAAGTAGGATTTGATTATAAACCTCTGTACAAGTCAAATCATCTCAAATCAAATCAGTACGTACCAGCGATAATGTAACATTGAACATGACGTCTTACACAGCCCTACCACTTACTCGACTCGGCAACAAGCCTCACGCACTCATTGCAACTCTGCATCTCAAATCTCACGTGGGATCCCACCAACGCAACCGCACATTCACCCCCAGTTTAAGCCTCCCATCCACAGCTCCTTCAGGCACGGCCAAGTCCGGATCTCCATCCCAGGAGAGCGGTCGTGACAACCGCCGTGAGATTTTTGGGGAGGGGCCGATCCGAAGCTCCGTCATACCGCGAGGCAGAACCACCACCGCGCGGTAAAAAAAAAAAAAGCCAAAAAAAGAGCAGCCAGAGCTTCATACCCAAAACTCCGCCGCAGAAACCATCACGAAAAAAAAACAACCTACTTTTTTTCTTTCTTGACTCGGCCAATTGCGCGCGTTCCGGCGATGGCGGCCGAGGCTTCGACTCCAACTTGAACTTCGGCTTTGGCCCCTCCCTCCCTCTATCCAGACTTTTCGAACCCCTCGGGCCAGTGTATTTAATTCCTTGCGTGCCGCCGCATCTCTTCTCTTGAACCATCGAGGTCACACGACGATTCTGCGAGCGCGCCTTTGCGACAACGACCACTGCTGCCACGGTCATAATAAGCACACATTCGCAATGCTGCCTCAAGCTTCCTTCTCGCGGCTCGTCTCCCGCGCCGGCCTCCCGCGCGCCATTGGCCGTCCAAACACCAAAACCACCATCCGGACGCTTCGCACCATCGCCGAAACGGTCCCCAAGTCGTCCATCAAGATCCTCCGCCTCGTCGACTCCGTGCGGCAATGGCGCAAGCCGCACATGGCCAACTACCGCTCCGTCGGTCTCGTGCCCACCATGGGCGCCCTGCACGAGGGCCACTTCTCGCTGATCCGCGCCGCCGCGCGCGAGAACCACCACGTTGTCGTGAGCATCTATGTTAACCCGGCCCAGTTCGGCATCAAGGAGGACCTGGCGTCCTATCCCGTCACCTGGGAGACCGACGTCGCCGCCCTGGCCAAGCTGGACCGCGAGTTCGCCGACGACGGCGCAAACCTCGGCCGCATCTCTGCCGTCTTTGCGCCCACGACCACCGAGATGTATCCTTCTGGCTTTCCCGGCCAGGAGATTGACAGCAAGGGCAGCTTCGTCAGCATCACGCCCGTGGCAGAGGTCCTCGAGGGCGCCAGCCGGCCAACCTTTTTCCGCGGCGTCGCCACCGTCTGCATGAAGCTCTTCAACATTGTCCAGCCGGACCGCGTCTACTTTGGCCAAAAGGACGTCCAGCAGACGGTCATCATCAAGCGCATGGTCAAGGATTTCATGATGCCCACCGAGGTTGTCATCTGCCCCACCACGCGGGAAACCGACGGCCTTGCGCTGAGCTCGCGGAACGTCTACCTGGGCCCTCGCCGACGCAGCGTTGCTGTTGTGTTAAGCAAAGCATTGCGCGCTGCAGAGGATGTGTACAAGAACGGCCAATTGGACCGCAGCCATGTCCTTGGAGCGGCGAACAACGTTGCCAAGTCGATGCTGGAGGCTCAGAAGGAGCTTCCTGCGGACCAGCGGGTGACATTCGAGGTCGACTACATATCATTGGCTGATCCCGACACCTTGCAAGAAGTCGACGTTGTGGACGCAGCTAAGGGGGCTATCCTCAGCGGAGCCATCAAGATGCAGCCTGTAGAGCAGGCGCAGAGCGGCGAAGATTTGGGCCATTCTGGAGGCCCGGCAGTGCGACTGATTGATAACATTATACTTGCGCCCAAAGCCGAGTAGAGGCAACGGCTTATGATTGACGAGTAATAAGAAGCAAAAGTCTGCGACGGAAGAAACTCGATTTAGAACAAGGTGTATACTACATATGGCGGGCGATTTGATTTACAACGTATGCTCTTTTCTTACAACTAACGCGCTCTTATTAAATTTCTTTTTCGTGTATATGTATACATAGCATCATATATAGGGGTATAATACAAGACAAGGCTCTGAAAGGAAACGAGAGAGAAATTCAACAAATGGTCTTACAAATGTGCCCTTCCCTCCAGCTTTCTCTTCCTCCGCGCATTCTTCACATTGTGATCCAGCGCCTCCTGCTCTTCCTTGCTCAACCGGCTCGGCACTCCCTTTCCGCCCTTCTTCTCAGCCTCCTCAGCCTCAGCAAACAGCCTACTGCCAAGCTCATCCGTCAAGCGAAGCACGCGGCTGCTAACTGTCGCTCCGTCTCGACGATTCTTGCCCTCTCGCCGCGAGCTTGCAATCTTCTCTGTGAAATCCCACAGCTTCCCATCGGCCAAGAGAGCTCCCGTTTCGGGGTCGCGAGAAGGGCGCCATGAGGGATCGAGCTGGAGGCGGGGAGGGATCTTGGCGTCTTTGGACTTGACGACGTTGATAATCTGCTCTTGTTGGAAACGCATGTATGAATTCTTGAGCGTTTCTTTGTTGACGGCTTCAAAGTATGAGAGATCTCCTTGGTGGTAGAGAGTTTTACCGAGCTGCGATGTCAAGAATGGTTAGCTTAGCCTTTATCGATCATCAAGGAAAATATTGCTTCTTACCAGCTGTGCATTGTTCTGGGCTTTTGCTTCTCCAATCCATATATCCCCATTTTTGCCTTTTGGAGGAGTAAGTCCCATCAACGACACCGCCGCCAACCAACTAGCCTCGATAAAAGGCCAAATGAGGAAGCAGTAGAAATCGTAGTTCTCTCGCCCGGCCTTGCGCTCTTCATCCGACAACCCAATGGTTGTAAGGTTCCCATTCTCGTCTCTATCCAAGCGGACAACGTGGTCGGCTTCCAAGCCACGCAGGGTGTTATCCAAATTTACTTCGAGACCAGCGCCAGAGAAGATGAATTCGCCACGGAATAGCGAGGATAAAAACAGAACCTGGTCCCTCAGTTCTGCGTACGGGATGTCTTGGTTGGATGGGCCGCCACCACGCTTGATGCGCGTGTACATTGCTGCGCTGACGAGAGCCTCGTAAATAAAGAGATGAATCGTCATGTTACGATAGAAGGAGAGCTGGAAACGGTCGACGGCATAATATGTCGGCTCTGCCAGTCCTTCCGCTACTCCGACCAAATCTTTGCCCAAGACTTCCAATCCTCGGTCAACAATTTCTGATATAGCCGCGTTTCCAAAGTGCGCAACTCGTCCGCCTTTGGCTCGGATACGGCATGTTAGCCACTCTACTCGGCGGATCAATTCCTCTTTGCCAACGCCTCGGCCACGTAGAGTAAGCAGGACGGTGCCAATGAGAGCGGTAGGCATCACGACCGATACTGCGTTGATATCGCCAAGGACCTTGTAGCCTAAGGCACGTAGAATCTTTTCTCGGACCGCCCTCACTTCGGGGTTCTGATGATCGGTATCCAATCCACGGGGAATGCTAGACAACTTCGCAAGATGAGTGTCAATAAATTTCCTCAGACTCCACGGCTCATGGAACCGAACGTCGACTCTGCCTAGCTTCAAGGAGAGAACAGAAGGGCCATTGGAGAGAAGATCAGCCAGGTTTTCCTTCTTCTTTGGCATACCAAGCAGTTCAGTAACATAACCCTCCGTCTCGATGACTTTGTCGTATTGCGTGCTGACGGGGCAAATGATGCAGTCCTTGACTCGGCCAGAGAGAATGCTATCAAGCACAAAGCTCAAGATGCCAAATTTGGGCGGCAGCAGTTTTCCTGTACGTGACCTGCCTCCCTCAATGAAGCACTCAAAATTGTAGCCGCCTTGCAGGAGTGTATCGACATATGACTGCACGAGTGTTGTATACAAGGCATCATCTCCAAATGATCTTCTGATCCACATGGCACCCGCGTGCTGTAGGAAAGCTCCCACCAACGGAAAGTTGAGATTGTCGCCTGCGACGACCACCGGCAATGTCAAGCCAAGGCGGTAGCATATCAGCTGCAGAGACACGTAGTCAACGTGTGACCTATGGCTGGGCAGGAACACAATGCTCTGCTTGTTCTTGGCGGCCAGGTCTGCCACCTTTCGTAGCCGCAAAACCTCTTCGCTAGAAACATGGATGCCTTGGTGGTAGGCTCGCGTTACCAGCTGCATACACAGGTAGTATGCGCCGCGGATGAAAGTATTGCTCTCCATTTTGCAAATCATATTGTCCGTTAGCTTCTCCGCAACTTCCAGGAGCGAGCTCTCTATAATGTTTCGTCGCTGCGCACGCTTCAATTGGTAATCTTTGCCGTCTTTGTTCAGAAGTCCTTCCTTTTCCTCGACGGCCAGGCGATCGTCGGCGAGCTGCGCAATCCGTTTCTGCAGCAAAGGCGCCGACAAGACATTGGAAATCATGTTCTCCGAGAACCCGGAATAGAAGACCGGCTGCCCGATAACGCGGTCGCGATCGTAGGCTCGCCATCCTTGGCCGGAAACGTAGAGGGAGACTTCGCGAAGGAACCTGGTTGGCAGCGGGTTAGCAGACAAGTCCAACGGCGAACCTCGGTAACCCATACTGAAGCGGTTCGCTGCGGAACGAATGGGTTTGATTCATCAAAGCCTCCTCTTTGTCATCCTGCGACACGCCTCTGGGCTCTACGAAGCCGCTGGGCTGCAGAGTGATCTCATCGCCCAGGATCTGGAGATCGGGAGCCGAGCTGCTGCCATCGTCGACGGAATTGCCATCTCGAGCCATGGTTGGATGTCGCGGAGTCGAAATAGCCGGGAGCTGGAGCGGGAGCGGTGCGGAGTTAATTCTCAAGGATAGTTGAAGGAGCTGAAGGGTAGCAGCAACATTGCCATGCTATGCTCTGCGCAAAAGAAATTCAAGCTCGCTGATGCAATGGCAAATGGTCAGCCATGGAGACCGAGTCTGATGCTTATCCGGGGTAAATAAAGGTGTGGGGCCGAATCAGACGAGAACGCGAGCAGTGTCTGTCATTAGTCGAATAGCCCGAGGACATGTGAAGAGCAGTGATGGTGGTTGCATCCAGTAGCTGAGCCGCTGTAAGCCTGTGCTAAGCACACTGCCGGCGTACCGAGTACAAGACATGACATGCTGTAGACGCCCCGTTGCTTCGTACTAGAGACGTAGAGGTTCAAGGGAGCTTGGACCACCTGCAAGACTTCGAAGCCGCAACCACTAAGAAAAAAAGTTTAAGAGATCCATGGATCCCAAAAGTTATTGACCTATCAGCTGCATCTTCTGTCAGGCTGCAGTTCGTTTCAACTGCGGAGGAATTCCATCTTCTGTAAAATCTCTTGTACATCGAAATTGCAAAACTCCGCCATGGCATCTTCAGAGCAGATCAAAGTGACGCAGGACCTGTTGGCGCGAGCGCACTCTCCCGACAGCGCAAACCGCATCTACAGCGAAAAGATCCAGTATCGAACTCTCCAACTGAAGCCTACATCTCCTCAACCTGCTGCTCTCAACGCCAGAGCAGCGCGTCACAAAGCTCGCCAACAGCAGAAGCTACGCGGGAAGCAGAGGCCAAAACCACTGTCAGCTCGGGAGCGTCGCACACTTGGACTCTACGACATTCCAAAGGAAGGCCAAAAATATGAAATCTATGAACCGCTTAAAACGATGTGGATGGGCTACGCTTTGGAGATTTTGGGCAACGACATATACACCGGCGGCTCACTGGCTGCTGCCAAGCTAGCCAGCGCTGAATTCCACGGAGCAGAGGCCGAAGTGGTGAGAAGTCGGTGCCCAGGACGAGTGGGAACCAAGGGCATCATCGTTAGAGACCGCAAGTTTGTCGTTGAGCTGATGACAAAGAAGAGAGGACTCAAAGTCATACCCAAGGAAGGAACCACATTCCGCGTGGAAGTCTGCGCCCCTCAACAGCCCAACGATGGTACGGAGAAGACGTTTGCCTTTGAGGTGCTTGGCGACCAAATGATGCTCCGATCTGCGGACCGAGCCAACAGGAAATTCAAGTCACACTTTCTGAAGGATGTATAGTGGCGGGACGCGCCGTCTTTTGTTCTCGGTGGCTTCGAAAAGACAGCCCATTCTATGGAATACGAGCCCATTTCCGGCGGTATTATGGATTCGCCGCGAAGATCCTCCAGCCCTTATCATTAAGGTTCTGGTACTACGTCGTTTGCACACTACATGCTACGTGTCGCCGAAGATTGCCTGCTGAGATGGCGGAGACTACATTTCACCAATATAAGAAATTCATGGCCACTAGCGGGAGGGATACACGTCTCCTCTTGATTGATTGAAATTAGCATCTCGATGCAATCGCTTGCAATCGCTTGCAATACAAACGACCATCTCCCACGCCAATCTCGAGGAATCAGCCTACCTCCCGACTGCTACGACAGAGATAATCTCGGAAAATGAACTGGTTCTGTCTCAACCCTCGCCCATGGAAACTCCCCTCGCCCTTTGTGGCCATAATGTTCAGGGCGTTCTTTGGCCTAATAATGTTGGCCAACGCGAATGCCACGTATGAACGATTGGATATCTTGAGCCCTTCCTATATTCATGTGACCAATATTACCATGGTAAGTCAATTTGTCATTGGAGATAGATTCCATTAAAATGACGCGGCTAACTCTCGCTATCACGTATAGACGTGCATGATACTTGCAATGATTGCCATGTTTTGCGAGCAGCGTTGGCGCAACAATTATTTCAATTCCGACGTCAAGGGCTTTTGCTTCAATTTTGCTTTACTTTGGGGCATGGTGTTCACTTCGAACATGGGTTTCATCGTGAGCGGTTTTGTAATTTGCCATGTTCCAAGGTATCAAAATGAAGCTGAGGCGAAATATTGCCGCGTCTTTGGCAACCGTAAAATAGCCAACTTCCCCAAGTGGCAGCGAGCGAGCTGGATTGTGTATTATTGGACCATTATGGCCATCACTTTGGGTATAGCTTGCTGGCAGACGTTCGTAGCATCCTCTCCCTTGTGTATACTTATAAGAGCTGATTCAAGTTTGCAGGATAAGCTGGTTTCGTTGGCACCTCATGATCAAGGATTTATTAAGAGAGAGAGCTTCCACTGCGAATGCAGAGATGGGTACAACTGCGAATAGGAGGGTTACAACTGCGAATGCAGCGTAACTAGAATGATCCTAGATATTAAATTTATCAAACGGGCGAAAGGCAGCTAATACTTAAAGCAATATGCGATTATAGCTGCACATACTATGTTGATACAGCATGATGATAATGTTAATAATGTTGGACGTTGACAGTTACACCTAATTAGACCATTGATACCATTTTCAGGAACTGCTGCTTGATCATTTACACGTCCACTTCCGGTGCATGCATCCATCACGTAATAATCGCCTGCCCAACGGGTGCCCAACGCCTTACACTCTGCATACGGTCCATCTGACTAATGCACCGCCATAATATGTACGGCTTCGCAGCCAAAGAGCGTCGATCTCATTCAGCTCAAGCATCTACGTATAATATCCCGCTGCTCGACATATTCCGTCGTATACACGTAATTGATGTGAGTCCCAGGGCCGCAAAAAGACCGCCATACTATCCGATAGCTCTCGGTGGCTGATGGCGCTTACCATAAGTCGTCAACGCACATATTACTCCGTGCAGATACCGTCTGCCATCAGTAAGAGTGCACGCCTGCATGAGAGCCACCGAATCCACCGTTTTCTCGCCAGAGGCCGCATTGCCCCGTAGCATTAGGGCAAGTATCACGCCGTCAGTGCCAGGGCTCCAGCAACCCGATGCGCGGCATGCCGAATCGCGACCCCGTCATGCCTTCAAGGCTCCCTGCATGCGTTATTACAGCACTTACCGTAGCATGTCGTAATACATACGGCTCTGGGCGGTCGCGCCCCATGATTCCTCGATTAGGATTTAGCCCTCGCACAGTAGGCTCGGTTAAGGTTCGGAGCTACCCCGATGCGGCCTAGCGGCGTCCAGCCTCGCTGTCCATCCAGCCTGGGGGAGCAGAATCGAACTCCAATTTTATCTTTCCCAAATCTCAGGTTTTTAACCCCAGCAAAAGCACTGGTAGCATTAGTTTCTCATTCAAGCATTCTGTCATCTCGCGACCCAGCGTCTGCCATAACCACGACTCCGACGACCTCTTGCCCGCGCAATTGATTACTCTCATCATCTCGCTAGCCGTAGCACGCTTTTGAGATTTTCCATTTGCTAGACATCCACCCGCTGGTGTCTGCATCCTGCCACTATTTTTTCAGTCGCCCGACCCACGGCTGAACTCGACCTCACGACGAACACCCCGCGCCTCGGTACACGATCACGACCCGTGGGAAAAGAAAAAAAAAAGTCCAACCATGCCATCCAATCTCCCGTCAAGCTTTGCTTCGGCCGCCGCTGGCCAGAACGCGGCCCGTGATGCGAGGGGTGGAAGAACTGATGGAAGGGGATCTGCTGGAGGTGAATGGTGAGTCGTTGCCCCTCGCCAGCACCCGTGTTGGCCGCAAACCCTGGAGGCGAACGGAGAATTTGGTGTCATGCATGCAGTCTGCCGCTGTTGCTTTGCACTAACGAGCGCTGCGTGAATCATTATTTTTTTTGGGGGCGGGGACAGCCGCTCAAACGAGGCAGCCCCTCTACCATTTCCCCGAATGCGGCCGTGTCGTGGTCCATATACATTGTCTTCGTGGCTAACTTTAATCTTTAGGTCTCGGAGAGATGGGCGCTCAGCCAACGGCACTCTAACCTTTCGTCGTTCCTCCACCACGCCCCTGAGCCAGTCCTCTAACCTCCCCCCTGCGAGTGATAACGCTGTCCAGCCGCCAAGCGTCGAGGTGCCCATCGCGCAACCCACAACCTACGAAGTTGGCCCTTCACGTTATACAAAGGACGATCTGCTCGAGATGTATAACTCCCAGCGCCCCGGCGATGACCCCTCTCACCTATTCATCTCTGGCTGGGACCCGAGCAATGGTGCCAGTGCTGGCGTAAGGGGCTGGGGGAAAAGCAACGACAGCCACGTCCCGCAGGATCCCGGTACCTGTTGGGATGCCAGCGGCGAGACAGCACCGATAGGACTACAAGGATTCTCCCCAGATGAGCGAGAGGTTAGAGATGTGATTTATTTTTCTCTTGGCAGCAATCACGCTGCGGGGATGTGACATCGCTAACGATGACGTTTAGGCCTTTTCTACTGACATCAACTCGCCACTGAAACCTCCCACACAGACAAAGGAAGTTCACCAGACTGCTGTTAACGGCCGCAAGCCTTCTCTTTCTCAGGGTCCAGGAGCTACCTTTGGAGTGAGCTCACCGTCATCCGCTGTTCGACCTGCTACTCGTCGACGAGAAACTGTCGATTCCAACCCATTCAGCCCATCTGCTCTTGCGTCCCCGACTGCCAGCCGATTTTCGCGGGAAGATCCGCTCTGGTTCTCGCGGAAAAGTGGCGATCTGAGAGAGTCGGAAAATGACGAGCCAGACACTGAGCAAGCTTCGCGTGATGTCCCAAAGCTGCCAATTGGAGGCCTAATGCGAGCCAATACATCGACTGGCGTGAGCATGGGGTCGATGTGGCCATCTAGCGCATCCGGTGCCGGCGGGTTTGGCAATTTTGCCCTGCCCACGTCCCCAGCAGCTGTTGGTGACAAACGGCCTGGTGGCACTACCGGCGGAAGTCGGCTGGCGCATTTGATTCCCAAGGACAATGCAGAGGCCACCAGCACCAGCAAACCTTCTGAAGCTCAGAGCCCTCTGGCGCAATCGTCTTGGCGAACTAGGCCACGGACTGACACGGACCCCTTCGGTGGCGATGAAGAATTGTCTGGCAGTGCTGTTCTTGGAGGCGCGCAGGATACCAGCTCGGGGGGACAGCAAGCGCCTAGCCGAGCAGGAGTCTTGGGCACTCCAGTTAAGGGGTCTGCTGGTGACTTCGGGATGGCTGGCCTGAACTTGGGTGGGCAATCCTCCGGTGACAATGGCCCTCTTAGCCCATCGGAAACAAATCCTTACCGAAGCCCTCCAGCCGAACGCCATGACCACGACGGACAGGATTCGAACGCTGGTGAAAAGCTTCACAGCACTGGGCATGAACAGCAGCCCCACTCCAACTACAGCACTCTCTCTCGAGGGTTTGCTGCGGCTTTCGATGGGAGCGACCGTAGTCAGACCTCAAGCGTAGGTGCCAAAGCCTTTTTGTCTGGCGGCTGGCCGGCTCCAGCTGGCCCGTCCACCGGCACCCCTGACCGTGAGCGGTCGAATTTTGGAGGTGCTTTTGGCAGCTCTCTCTTCAGTCCTATCGGCGATATCCAATCTCCAGGCCTTGGCAATCTCGGAGGTGTATTTGGACCCTCCAACACCGGTAGTATCGGTCGCGGAAGCAAGCTGGGATCTCTCTTTCCGCCTGCCATGCAAGCCCAGATGCAAGCACATGAGCAAGAAAGCAGCCTCTCAGACTCTCTAGGTGACCTTCGACAGAGTAATCCGCTCGGCGCCATCGGCCGGGGTAACTTTGCTGTCCCAACTCGAGACACGGATAGTCCCCTGAGGTCCAACCGCGGGGTCTTTGAGGAGCTTTTCCCTTCTAGCGACAGCTCCAGAAATCTCGCTGCCTTCGGGTCGTCGGATGCTGGACAACCTAATATCGCTGCTACGGTACCTCAATCATTCACGCCAGTTAGTGGCGGTCTTCCCTTCGGTAATGCTCAGGGTGGCGTAGAGCACCCGTCTGCCCAGGTCCGCCAAATGGTAATGCCCGATCGCATGCGATGGGTGTACCTTGATCCTCAGGGACAAATTCAAGGTCCATTCACTGGACTGGAGATGAATGATTGGTACAAGGCCAACTTCTTCACCCCTGATCTTAGAGTGAAAAAGGTTGAAGATCCTGAGTTTGAGCCACTTGGTCAGCTCATCAGACGGATTGGAAACTCACGAGAGCCATTCTTGGTGCCCCAGATTGGAATCGCTCATGGGCCTCCTATGCAGAGCGGTCCATTTGGACCTGGAACTGGAAGCGGAATCATTCCTCCTCT